ACCACAATTTTTGGATCCATTCATCTGTGGTGGGGCATCTGGGTTGTTTCCATATCCTAGCTATTGTGAACAGTGCTGCAATAAACATGGAGGTAATGCAGTGTGATTTTGAACATTGGTCCTGCATAACCTCTGAGCCAGTTCCTCAGTAGCTCTTCCCACTCACTATATTTCCCCCACCCACTTTCTGTACCCACAGAGCTTTCATAAACTTGCTTTCTGGCCAACTATGGCAGAGTGTATCTTTTGCATTTAATCAATAGCATAGGTGGATGCACATACTTCAAGGCATCCTAGGAGGAAAGTCACTTCACCCGCAGGTGGAAATGGAAGCGTGGGGAGGTGGAAGCAGCACCCTAGCACATTGGCCACTAGCTCTGAGCCTCTGAGAAGGTCAAGAAGGCAGGAAGGACATCTGCTTCATCCTGACCCTGCTGACTTCCAGGGAGTCTGTGCTAGATACATACCTAGTACAGTTAAGGTGCTAGTGTTTTGTCAGTAAATATATATATATATATATATATATATATATATATATATATATATATATATTTATTTTCCGTGCCTGTCCTGGGGCTTGAATTCAGGGCCTCACTCTCTAGTGTGGTCTTTATTGTGATTTGTTTTTGCCAGTGCTAGGGCTTGAACTCAGGGCCTAGGCACTGTCCTGAGCTTTTGCTCAAGGCTAGCACTCTACCACTTGAGCCACAGCACCACTTCTGGCTTTTCTGTTTATGTGGTGCAGAGGAATCAAACCCAGGGCTTCATGCATGCTAGGCAAACACTCTACCACTGAGCCACATTCCCAGCCTTTGCTTGGTCTTTTGACTGGCACTTTATCATCTCTACTTTTGGCTTTTTTTTCTGGTTAATTGAAGAGCAGACTCTCAAGGATTTTTCTGCCCAGGCTAGTTTTGAACAGCAACCCTCATATCTCAGTCTCCTGAGTAGCTAGGATTACAAGCCACTAGCACTTGACTTCTTTTTTTGGGGGGGTCCAGTTGTGGGGCCTGAACTCTGAGTCTGGGCACTGTCCCTCAGCTCTTCAGCTCAAGGCTTGCGCTCTACCACTTGAGCCACAGCGCCACTTCCGGCTTTTTTCTTTTTGCTTATGTGGTGCTGAGGAATCGAACCCAGGACCTCATGCATGAAGGCAAGCGCTCTATCACTGAGCCACCTTCCCAGCCCTGACTTCTTTTCTTAATATTCCTCAAGCAGAGGCTGGGCAAGATGGTGCTTAGAAGCTTCCCCTGTGGATGAGAAGAGTCAGGAAACTGAAGGAGAGAAAGAGCAATGGTTATGAAGGGAGAAAGAGAAGGAGGACACAAGTGTTTTTCTCTTTCTCGCTATTTTTTTTTGGTTTTTTGGGTTTTTTTGGGGTTTAATTGTGGGGTCTGAATTCTAGGCCTGGGCACTGTCCCTCAGCTCTTCAGCTCAAGGCTAGCGCTCTACCATTTGAGCCACGGTGTCACTTCTGGCTTTTTTCTTTTTGTTTATGTGGTGCTGAGGAATCGAACCCAGGGCCTCAGGCATGCAAGGCAAGCACTCTACCACTGAGTCACCTTCCCAGCCCCTCTCGCTATCATTTCTAACATATTTATAAGGTACCATGTGATTTTTTTTTGCTTTGTATGTCCCTCCCCCAGGGTATAACCCCTGTTTTCTCTGTATTTGATGTCAGTATAATTTGGAGAGGGAAAGGGAAAAAACAAATTGTTTAAATAGGGATACAGGTGGACCCATTGTAACAAT